AGCCAGGATCATAAGAAGCAGTGGAACTAAGACAGTCAATTCATGGATAAGGAGACTCACACCATTCAGCAACCAAGGACTCATCGTATCGGGTGCTCTTCCATTTCATTTCACTTGTTGGAACCCCTTCTTCTTACTATTTGTTTCTTTTTTTTTCTTTTCATTTTACTTTGCTGGGGTTCCAGCTGCAGTTTGTATGCGCGGTCTGCCCTTATTAGGTGAGCAAGAGCAATTTTTTACATCTGTCACACGCCAGAATACTTCTTTTAACTCCTATTCCTACTTCGTGTGGAGGGTCAATGAAATTAAGGGGGTTCGGAAGCTCTATCCGTACCCTTAAAAACACATCCTCAAGTAGGCAAACCGTTCAACGAGTGGAAATTTTACTTGTACTAGAGACAACTTAGCTTCACCTTGTAGGCCTACCCCACCAAGGATCACTAAAATCTCTTCCAAAACCCGAATTTGTGCAATGAACGGTTCCACACACGTTGGCCTTACCCCCATGTCTTAAGATTTCAAAGTTGTTGACATGGAGGACCAACTGCCTTTTCATTTCACATATGAGCACCCTTTTTCGATACACGAGTTCACAACACAATATAAAGGGAGTCATCAATACCACATGAATCAACGGTCCCAAATCCACTAGTTCACAAAATCAACCGGCACAGCAGAGAGACCAATAGGAAAATCTTATACTTCAACATCCTCCATAGTGCTACAACTACCTCCCTAGGTTGCATATCACCCTAAAGACTGTCAATTCAAAGCATACTGAGCAGGATTTTGCAGGGAACAGTACTTGGAGCCCTCAATTCATCAAATTGGACAGTGGACTAGGCTCCAAGCACACAAACTTATCTAGCAGTCATAAATAGATAAACACCCCCCCCCCACACACACTTAAACACGACATTTCCCTCAATGGAGCAGAGGGAAAGATAAGGGGAAACGATGTTACCGGAAAAACTGACTGCTGGGGGACTGGAAATGTGACCAGTCAAAAGGGCTAGACTGGAAGGTGGACCAGTCCACAGGGCTAGGATCATCAAAACACCCTGGGTGATAGAAACCAAAGTTCCAAGTGGAAACCAAAAACAAACAAAATAAAAACAAACCTTGGTGGGGTTGCCTCCCCACAAGCGCTTCTTTACTGTCTTTTAACTGGACGCCAATAGGGTGGATGCTCAGAGAGGTGTAGGAACAGGTGCCTCCAAGAGCGGATCCACATCGCTCTTTAGGTACAACTTCAGATGGTGGCCATGCACACGATTGAAGAAGCTCTAACAACCTAATCAGATTCTATCTATCTCAGGTTGCAGCAGAAATCAGTAAAAGATGATCAGGCTTCAATTGACTCAATTAAAACACTTCACTCGATTATAATCAAGCAGTATCACAATCCAAACGTCATTACAATCGATATCCCTAACACATGGAACTAGGATTTTTCATACCCAAGTGAGAGAGGGTTCTACTCCATAGAGAGAGAGAGGGAAACAGAAAACAAAGCAGCCATACTCATCAACATGGGAAGAATCTGCTCTGGGGTGATAATCTTCACTCAAAGGATGAAATCCAAGCTTGATTGATGAAACCCAGCTCCAAAATCACCTCTAGGGTGTGTTCTTCGCACTTTCTCTCTCTAGGACTCTGTTTCTAGCTCTCAAAATCGATTCCCCTCTCAAAAGACCCGAAATTGGGTTAAAACCCAGAATTCCTCGAATACACGGCTAGGCCACACGGCCGTGTAGAATTCCAAGCTGCCCGTGTGGAGGTGTAGAACGCCACGTTTCACTTATGTGCCTTCATGCACGCTACACGGCCACGTCACACGGCCGTGTAAAATCTCGGCCTGCCCGTGTGAAGGTCTCTGGGATTTCCACACGGCCACAAGGGGTCCTTTACACGGCAGTGTGGTTTGCCCGCGCAAAGGGGTTCCACACGGCCACGTCACACGGCCGTGTGGTTTTTAGGTCTGGTCGTGTGGTTTCCTAGCTTCCTGTCAATCATTCCAACTTCGTCCAATCGACACCGAACTCGTGCCCGAACCTTCCTTCACGTCATGTGTATATATCAAGTCATCAGTATCTTAAGCTGTAAGGTTGAATGCGACTCTAACTCGGAATCCAATATTGAAGCATGATTAACTATATGCTCATTGTAGCTTAAATCAATAACCCAAGTAGCTGAATTTAAGGAACACATACCTGTCATATTTGAAGTTGGCTTGACAGAAGGTTGAGAGAGTTCCCACAAATTGCCACTGAACAGAACTTTGAGTTGCTCAATTTGACCTGTCGAAAGACCCAGCAAAGGGCTCTCTCCTACCTCAACTTGTGTTGCTTGGGGCGAAGCTCATGTGCCTCGCCCACTCTTGCGACTAGGCCCATTTTTATCCCTTTGTCCCTGCCACGCGGAGGAAAGCCAATGAGTCGATAACATGACTCCCTAAGATGACACATTCGACAACAATGAGTGGAACAAGGCTTGTCGTCTGCATCTCGATCCCTCTCTTAGTCACGGTCTGTTTGCGGCGAAGAGCGGTATGATCTCCTTTCACCATGAGCTTGAAACACAACCGCCTTAGGACGTGGGCGGCGACTACTAGGCGATTTGTCACTGTTGTTCATTTGCAATAATCATGCGATACACTTCCGCCAAAGAGGGCACGTGTTTCATTGCCAATAATTGAGATTTAATGGTCGAGAAGACTTCATCAAGACTCATCAAGAAGTCAAGCAGGCGCTCCCCCTCTCGAACTTCACGTTGACATTGATTGACAACGCACGTGCATACCGAACAGGTGCACTCTAGAGATGGTGTAAGAGATTCATTCTCATCCCATAATCTACGCAACTTTGTATAAAATTGCGAAACAAAATTCTTCTCTTGCCGAAGGAAGTTGATGGTTCGCTTCAGCTCATACAACCGGGGAGTGATGTCGTGGCCAAACCCGGATTCCATGTCGACCCAGATTTCGTGTGCGGTATAGGCGAAGTGGACGCTGTTACGTACGTCTTTGGTCATCGATGTTTTTAACCATCCCTTTACCATGGCTTTGCAGCATTTCAAGGCTTTCCTTTCGGCAGGATTCTTCGGCAACGGTAGACTCCCATCAACAAAGCACATTTTGTTCTTTGCTATATGTGGATATGTGATGTCCATTGCCTATTCTCCATAATTGACATCATTTAACAGCTCCCCGACAAACAGATTGTGGGATTGTCGGAGCGATCGAGTTGCAAGTGTGAAGGCAGGGATATCTATGCTTTGGCATCTCCTCCCACGACCATCTTCGATTTCTTGCTAGACTCTTCATCCGAACTCATGACTGAAACTGCTGGATCTAATCACAACTTTGATACCATGTAAAAATCGAAAGAAACGAAAAGCGAAAAGAACACGAGACCAGATTTACGTTGTTTCCCTGTTCGATGTGAACGGGACTAGTCCATGAAGAGCTCAAAGGTCTCGGAGTATCTTTTACTATTTGGTCTTCTTTACTTAGGGTTCGGTTGTTACCCTACAACCTTTAAATACAAAAACACAATAACTCCCAACTCCAACTAGAGAAGGGTAAATATCTAAAAGATCCCTATATTTCAACAAGTAGCAATATGAATCACAACATCATATGACTTATGTTGGAGGAAAGATTGCAAAAAGTGGCCCAACAATTTCTTCTATGAATGGTTTCTCTCACCCAGTTCACACTCATCACTCTTCCCCTTCTTCTCTTCGTTTTTCTACTCTCAGTGTAAATAGGAACAATAAGCCAATCTCAAATCACTAATTCTATCTCTCTCCAAAAATCGTGCCACCAACCAATCTAACCCTCCTCCATATCGGAGCCCCTCCTACCACCAAAATCTTCACCAATCGCTGTTTATTCCTCCTCGACCACTCACGCCTTGCTAAGTGTGGATCTATCACATGCTTTGGCATTGCCTTTTCTTCTCCATCTTCGTATACAACTCATTGACTCTATAATTTGACTTGTTTTTTTTTCATCCATTAGCTTGAGCTTGGGTCGGAAATGTTGGACGAATTTGATCAGTGAGATTTTTTTTTTAAAAAAAAATAGGTATTCAGTCAATTATTTCGGAACCATTCCAAATCACTTACTAGTCGATTAGACGATTAATCTACTAACATAAACTTTCCAGTTAGCACATAGCGATAAGCACAAATTAATTAAACAACTAAACGAAAACCAAATAAACGATTACGGTTATAATCTAACCGAGTAACAAAATTATAATCAAACCGAGTAAGACGCCTACCCATAACGTGGCCTACACATAACGTATCTTTTCTACCCTTTCGTTTTTTGGTAAAACTAAAAATCTTTTCTACTCTCTGTATGTTGCGTAAGGTAAAAAATAAAAAATAAAGGAAGGATGATGCAGCATATTGCCGTTCGGTGGGGCCAAGCATCCCTCCAGCCGTCCGTTCCTCACCGTACCTCTTTTAACCTCCCTCTGCCTCATCCTTTATCGTACACTCACCACCACCTCCTCCCTTTCTTCATTTACTGCAACAGACCAGAAGCATTCCCACAGTAAAAATTAAGCAAACAGCTCAACTACTGTCCGCTCCAGCGTAGTTCTAGTCTCTGTAGCTGCATGGCTACAGCGGATCATGAGCCTCCGCTTATGATTAACAATCAAAACCAACTACCACTGCTGCAACAACACCACCAAGAAGAAGGAGAAGAAGAGGAAGAAGAGGAGGTGGAAGAAGAGAAAGACGTGGACGAAACCTGCCCACCTTTTGCCTTCTTCTCCTCCTTCTTCTTCTTTTTCTACTTCCTCTTCTCTTGACACATCTCTCCTCAGGAATCTCTACACTGCCCAATTCTTGGCCAGATGGGATGCCAGGTGAGGTTATTTGTTTGCTCTCTTCTCTTCTCCACGTGATCGCTACTATTCACTTTACTTCATCTCTTCCCACTCTTTTTTTCCGGCGTTACATGGGCTGGCGAAACCATGCAGGATGTGGGATAATTCTGCGTGGGTCTGTACATGATCAATCTTTGGCCCGGATCTTTAGTCCTGGCAGCTGTTTACGGTGCTGTTTGAATCTGCTTCCACTGCACTTTTGGGTCCAACAATCGGACAATGGGTTCAACGCCTCACTTACGTACAGGTTAGTTTCACCAATCGATCAGTTCTCCCTTACTTCTGATGCTCTACTGTTGCATTAATGCCAACCTTGGTACAATTTTTTGGCTTTTGGACAGGTCCTTCGGCTATGGTTGGTGGCTCAGAATCTCTCTTTCCGACTCTCAAGTCCACAAACTTCACAGCCTTCGTCTCGCTGGTTGCATTAGCCAACGCCTCTGGCGCCGTTGGCTCTCTTTCCAATCTTGCTGGCACCATCTTGATAGAAAGAGAATGGTTAGATTACTTACTGCCGTTGGCTCCCTTTGATTATTACCACACAGTATGTGCGGCTGTCTGAAATTTTACTGTTTTTCACAGGGTTGTGGTGATTTCGGAAGGCCATCCTCCAGATGTGCTAACAAAGACCAACTCAACCATCAGACGGATCGATCTGACCTGCAAGCTTCTGGCACCAGTGGTTTCTGGTTTCATCATCAGCTTTGTATCATTAAAAGCATCTGCCATAACTTTATCCTGCTGGAACATTGCAGCAGTATTGCTGGAATACCTGCTCTTCATGTCTGTGTATAAAGGGATCCCAGCTCTAGGCGAGAGTAACCACAAAAAGAGGGATTCAAGACCTTCGCCACCAGGAGTTGATCTTCATGATGCAGGATTTTATAGTAAGGGATGGGGAGCCAGAGTATGTGAATGGCTCTACAGCCTCCACTTCATTAGCTCTTGGAGAGTGTACTTGAAACAAAGTATTGTGCTTCCTGGTGTAGCTCTTGCTTTGCTGTTTTTCACAGTCCTCAGTTAAGTGTGTGCGACGCGTGCGTGCATTCTGTTTCAAAGTTATGCTGAATTGATGATTCTGCGTTTTTTTGCCCAGCTTTGGCACCCTGATGACAGCAACATTAGAGTGGGAGGGAATTCCTGCTTATGTAATTGGGCTAGGTCGAGGTGTAAGCGCCATCATCGGAATATCTGCTACTTCTGTATACCCAATCATGCAGTCTCAGCTTTCAACTCTCAGAACGGGACTTTGGTCTGTATGGTATCAGGTATTCCAAGCTCCTACTAAAAGGATTACCTATATGCTAGAAAGGGTTCAGTATACTGAAGATCACATAATATCAATTCGATGCAAAATATGAAATTCATGCAGTGGGCTTGCCTTGTTGTATGTGTTGGTGGAATATGGGTCCATAGCCAGACACTATCTGCATATATGCTCATGGCTGGAGTCGCAACATCTCGACTTGGCTTATGGATGTTCAGACTTATCCGTGGTCCAGCAAATGCATGTCAAAAATGAATTCCTGACCAAAATTTTCCCTCTTATAGTTGTTTTACCCCAGATGCTTATGATTCCTTTTGTTATGATCTTCCCTTGTGCCAAATGAATTGAAGGATCGTGTTGCTGAATCTGATCGTTGCATTGTGGGAGGTGTTCAGAACTCTCTTCAATCTGCTCTTGATCTGCTGGGTTATGTGATGGGCATAATCATCTCAGACCCAAAGGAAGTAATCACAGCCTTTGAAACACTGTACAAATTTCAGTTCACAATTAACGTGACATTTCTGATAGACATATAGATATAACTACCACTAAACCTTCTTTTCTTCACTGTTTATCAGGATTTCTGGAAGCTGAGTTTGATATCCTTCGCTGCTGTAACCATGGCTGTCCTTCTGTATAGCATACACATACCGGGTCCGAAAGCACCTCATTCACTTTGAAAAGCTTATTATGCTGGCAAGATGGCGAAAAAGGTCGCCTGAAACTGCATCATCCACTGTGTGAAGAAAAGCTGAAATGAGGGGTCGCCTGAAACTGCATCATCCACAGAAAAGCTGAAATGAGGGAAGCTTACTACGGTTTCATACATACCGGGTCCGAAAGCACCTCATTCACTTTGAAAAGCTTATTATGCCGGCAAGATGGTGAAAAAGGTCGCCTGAAACTGCATCATCCACAGAAAAGCTGAAATGAGGGAAGCTTACTACGGTTTCATCATGCTCGCGACTTAAGACTCGCTATATTTGTAACAAAAATAGCCAGAAGTTTGATGAATTGAACCGTACTCTGGCTCTCAGAAGTCAGCAACTTCTATAATTATGAATAAAATTACCCATTTAAGGGTTTAGAAGTTGAAGCCATACTACATCATCATTGTAACCTCCGGCTGCCTGTCTACATTACAGTTGCAACTCCCAAGTGGATTTGAGAAAATAAACAACAGCCCGAACCGAAAAGACAATCACTAATCAGCTTTTTCATACTAACACGGTTTACTACATTTTACAAGTCCAGGCCAGCTGCCATTGCTCCGTGATGAAATGATGTCATCCCTGTTGAAAATCAGAGACAAACACAGTGCTCATTGGTTGCAACACCTAGCCATCGCTAAGTAGACTATTTTTCAAATTCAGAATTACCCACCATGTGATCCTCCTATGTGCACTTGATAAATTTCAAGAAAGTCGAACACTTCCAGTCCTACCATGTACGAAGGCAAAATGAATTCTGTGCAAAAAGGAAAATACTTACAGCCCGTAAACCTTTACAAATTCTCTTAGCATGTTGACTTGTTGTGTCCAAGACCCTTGCATCTGCTGCACTGGAGTTGACGTTTCATAGTCTCCTGCGTTACATATTTCTTTGTGGTGGGCTGTCCAGGGGGACGCCGAGTAGGAGGAGGGGTGATAGTCACTACTCCTCCGTTCAAAGGCTTTCTCTCACTAGGCCTCTCCACTTGTGGTATAGGGTGGACTGACTCTGAATAAGTTAATCTGTAACAACCGGTAGAGAAATACCCAGAACAATAATCATAAGGACTCCTCTCCCAATGCAACCTATCACAGCAAGTGCATGGCAACGAGATAACCCACTAAGCTGCCACCCTTTACAGCTACAATCAGTGGCTGACCAACGTTGTTGGCAGGAGGGGCTATAACCCCCTCAACTCTCAAAATTGTGTAAATTTACATGTAAATTTCACAGCACATTTGGATAAAAGAGTAGGTGGTAAGGCTTTAGACCCCTCACCGGTTCAAACCTTTGAACGTATATTTTTTAGCCCCCTCATTTAGATTCCTGGCTCCGCCACTGGCTACAATCCCAGTGGTCAACATCAACAACTTCAGCGACCGATTCCCCACGAACCTCAAATGTATTGCCAGCTGAGAGAAGCACCTGAAGTGCGCCAATGCTTAGGTTCTCCTTATCCAACTTTTCCTCCACAGAAGGAGTTAACTTTGTCAGCCACTGATCACCATTTAACCTCCTTGCATAGACTAACTCTGCGATTTTCCCCCTCAATACATCTGTAAGGAAGTGGTTAAGCACCATACACGGGCCTGTATAAGATCCAACATAACCGTCTACCAACAACTCGAGTTATTGAGACCAACTGGTTTATGACATGGTATCAGAGCTTGGTTTGTCCTTGAGGTCACGCGTTCACCCCCAATATTAATCGTTGTCTTTCAAGCACATGGTAGGGCTGGGCCTGTGCAAACTTCAAGCCCATAAGTCGGCTTTCGTTTGAGGGGGCGTGTAAGGAAGTAGTTAAGCACCATACACGGGCCTGTATAAGATCCAACATAACCGTCTCCCAACAACTCAAGTTATTGGGACCAACTGGTTGGGTTGTAGTCAAGTAAATAAGCTTGCCCACTAGTCTTCTGTAGAATGAAGGATCTGGATAGGGATCAGAATGAATAGAAGATAGATGTTGCTTGTAATCCATAGGATTAGAAACAGGCTTGGATAGTAAGACATCAGCTTCTTCCAAGATCTCCAATGTATATTTCCTTTGTGATAAATGAATTCCAGATTGATTTCTGGCAACTTCAATGCCTAGAAAGAATTTGAGTTGACCCATATCCTTGATGCTGAATGCTTGGTGAAGTACTTGTTTTAACTGAGTGATTGCTGCCAAATCATTACCTCCAACCAAGAGGTCATCAACATAAACAAGTACACAGGTGTAAGAATCATTAACTGATTTTGAGAATAGGGAATGATCAACCTGACTTGGAACAAATCCTTGTTGAACAAGGCAATCTGCCAGCTTAGCAAACCACTGTCTAGAGGCCTGTTTGAGGCCATAAAGTGACTTCTTGAGCCTGCAAACAGGATTGATGATGTTTGGTGGTGGATTGTAACCCTTAGGAAACTTCATGTAGACCTCTTCTGTTAGGTCTCCATGGAGGAAGGCATTGTTCACATCTAGTTGGTGAACATGCCATGATTTTGAAGCAGCAATAGCAAGAAAAAGTCTAACTGTTGTCATCTTGACAACAGGAGCAAAAGTATCCTGGTAGTCTATCTCTTCTTGTTGGTTATAGCCCTTTGCAACCAATCTGGCCTTCTCTCTTTCAAGTGAGCCATCTGAGAGAAACTTGTACTTGAATATCCACTTGTTCCCAAGGGGTTTCCTCTGTGGGGGAAGGGATACAACATCCCATGTTTGATTCCTTTCAAGGGCATCAATCTCATTATTGATGGCCTTGTTCCATTCTGGTCTGAGGGCAACTTCCTCATAAGTCTCTGGTTCTTTGTGAGAAAAAATGTTTAAGATGTATTTCATATGATGAGGAGAGAGAGATGTGTAGTCCAAAACATGGGAGAGAGGGTAGGTAATACCTGTGACCTGTTGCTGGAGAGAGTGACCAGTAAAAGAAAGCTGTTGAAGCAGGTTGCAATGGTATTGTTGTAATTTGGTTGATGGTTTGATGGTTCTAGGTTGTTTCCTGATGACAATGGGAATGTCAGTGGAAGGGATAAGTGGGGATGGTGAGGGTAAAGGACTGAGGAGAGGGATAGTGGATGAGGAAGGTGATTGATCTGGTATTGGTTCTGTAGGGTGTGGAACAGGAAGTTCATCAGGCACAGGAGAGGGTGGGATAGGGTATGTAGGTGGGGGATTTTGTGAGCTGGGTTGATGGGTGGGGGATGATTGAAAGGGAAATTCAGGTTCATGAAACTGAACATCACTAGAGATGAAAAACTCATGAGAGTTGAGGTCATATAGTCTGTAACCTTTGATGCCTGATGGATAGCCTAGAAAAACACATTTTCTTGCTCTTTCTTGGAATTTGGTTCTGTGGTTTTTCAGGGTGGATGCATAGCAGAGACATCCAAATACTTTCAGGTCCTGTAAGTCAGGTGGTTTGTTGAAGAGCTTTTGGTAAGGGGTGAGGTTAGCTAGGACTGGTGTTGGGACTCGATTGATTAGGAAGACTGCATGTTTGACACAATCTCCCCAGAAACCTATTGGTAGGTTTGCTTGGAACTTGAGGGCCCTTGCCACAGCTAGGATATGTTGGTGTTTGCGTTCCACTTTGCTATTTTGCTGTGGGGTTTCCACACATGACATTTCATGTGTGATACCAGATTTTGAATAGAAATCAGACATTTGAAATTCCTGTCCTTGATCACTACGAATGGTTTGGACATTTGTTTTGAATTTGGTGGTGATCATGGTACAAAACTGTTTTAGTTTGGTTCTGGTTTCAGCTTTGTAAGTAAGAAGGATGATCCATGTCATCCTTGAATGATCATCAACGATGGTTAAAAAGTATTTAAAACCATCATATGTAGGAGATGAATAGGGGCCCCATATGTCAACATGTATGAGCTGAAAGCAATATGTAGTTACAGTGAAACTGGAAGGAAAAGGGAGCCTTTTCTATTTGGCAAAATGGCATACATCACAAGGTAAGCTGCTGTTAGTTTCTATGGATGTACAGAGTTGTTGTAAAGGAGGAATGCGACTGTGGGAAACATGTCCAAGTCGAAAATGCCAAATGTCTAAGGAGGGAGAACTAACTGCAGCAGTGATGTGGTTAGGTATATTGTCTAGGACTAGGTTGATGTGGTAAAGGCCTTTGGATAGCTTAGCAAAACCACTCACTCTCTTCAGCTCCAGGTCCTGTATTGTGCAAGAATCAGATGAAAAAGTGAGGGACAAAGGTTTGGTGGTTGTTAACTTGCTCACTAAGATCAGATTAAAGGTGAATTTGGGTACATAAAGGGCATCTTCAAGTACAAGACCATTTAGGCAATGTACTTGACCGATGTGTGTTGCCTGAACTCTGTCTCCAGTGGGCAAGTTAATGAAAATGTGATGTACTTTGCGTGATGTGTGAAGAAAGGTTAGAGAGCTGACTATATGGTCAGTTGCACCTGTATCAAGGATCCATGGAGAAGCAGTAGTGCTATTTGGGAGAAGAGAACATGAGTGATTACCTGAAGATTCAGGTTCATAATGAGTGGCCAAGGAAGCTGTGTGAGTAGGGTAAGATGATTTGCCTTTGAGATTGTCATTCATCAGGGCCATCAGCCTCTCATAGTCTGTCTTTGTGAGCTTGAATTCAGGTTGTTCAGCTGTTGGTGGAGTGCCATCAGCAGCATTAACCATGGTTCTGGGTCGAGTTTGAGGCTGTCTGGACTGAGATGGTGGAGGGTAACCATGCTTCTTGAAGCACTTGTCTTCAGTGTGACCAATCCTCTTGCAAAAAGTGCACTCAGGGGGTTTAGCAGATGGGTTGGAGCTTGTAGTGGAACCTCTTGATGAAAAACCAGGTGGCCACCCATGTTTATGGTAACAGGTGTCTTCAGTGTGGCCTGGATTGTTGCAGAATGTGCAATGTGGTCGTTTAACTGAGTTGAAAGGACGTTTCGATCCTTGAGCAGAGAAGGCAGAACCCTCAGCAGTGATGGTTTTGCCTTG